TCCTCACCAAACAAAACTAAAGTATTTCATTTGGTGCTAGGTTCAGCCTGTTTATTGAAGAAAATTTTTATAACATAATAGAAACTATTACTAATATAAAGAAAACTTCTAAAAAATAATTCTAGCATTACTTTTTTTTTGTCTTTGTTTTTACTTCATTTCCGAACAAGGTCTCACTATACTGTAGCCCAGGCTGGCCAGAATCTTGAGGCCTCAGCAATATCACATCCAGAGTGATCAGTATCTTTACTAGAATGCTTAACTGGTACGCGTGCTATGTGAACAGCCGTATTGGTTAGCAATGCTCACAGAGGAGGCTGCTTATGTGAAAACCATCATGTGGCTTCCATCTGAAAGCCAATCCATGAGTGAGCAAATCTAGTTAGAGGACTTAGCCCTAGTGTAAGCTAAGCACCACCATTGATTGGTTGTAAACAATGGAAACAGACAAAAGGTGGGGAGTCTGGAAAAACAACAACAACACACGCACACACACACACACACACACACACACACACACACACACCTGTCAAGTCTAAGGACTTACTTACAGTTCTAATCTTAAGAGAAAACAGAGAATTCTTTAGCTGCCATTTACACTGAGCGACTGTTTCAGAAGGATATTTGTTTGTTTGTTTTTGTTTTTTGTTTTTTTTTCTAAAAGAAAAAGGAGTTAGAGCGTTGCTACCGTCCTTTGCTGTCCCGAGTGTGACAGTTGAAGTTTGGTTGGTGTTTCTTCCATTGGGGATCTGCAGAACAGGAGAGTGGTAGAAAGTTTTGAGGAGGGGGAGTTAGGCCTGAGCCGCCCCGGAAGTCCGGACAGTGCAGTGTAGGTCCCAGTAAGTAAGGCCATGCCCTTCCTAAGAACACATCTCACCCGGGACTCTCAAGGTTTCCCCATTGCCTGTGAGCTAGCATGTTCAAATGCCCTATGTCAGGGGAATATGCAATTGTAGCAATTCAGCTATAATTTCACTTCCTTTTCAATCACTTAGAGAAACTCTGCAAAATCACAAAGCTTGCTACTGGAGTCTCTTCCAGTCCTGTACCTCGTGAGCTGGAAACAAGGGAAGGGACTGCTCCCGAGCTGTGGGTTGGGATCATGCGCTGCTGGCGAGGTGGTTTCTGTGTTACAGCCATTCCTGCTAGGTGAGGGAAAGGGCCTGTGAAATCTTGAGCTCCTTAGAATGTTCCATGAAGATACTGCTCAGCTAAATGAGGCTGAGAAGTGAAAATCAGGTGCTCAAAAGAAAAACCTGGGCCTGGAGAGATGGCTCTTTGGTTAAGAGCGCTTACAGCTTTCTCAGGGGACCCGGGTTGACTGCTAGGACCATAGTTTGTGGATCGCAATTACCTGAAACCCCACCTCTGGGAACTCTGACATCCTCTTCCGGACTCTTCGGAAACCCATACACATGAGCATGTACCCTTCACTCACAGGTACATAAGAAATAACATAAATCTTAAGGAAAAATAAAAGAAAGAAAATTTTGGGTCATCGGACAAAACTCAGGGAGGATTTAGAAGATTGACTTGGAAGTAAAGGCAGGGACAGAGGCCTTGAGAGGGGCTGTAGGAAGAGACAGAAGCCAGCTGGTGGCCTCTGTCACTGCTCCTTGCTGGGCGGTATGAACTGAGGCCCAGAAAAGGGATTGGGGCCCAGGATTATAAGGTCCCTAAAAGCAATCTTTTGTTCTAGGGACAACAGGGGGAAACACACACTTTCCTTCCCCTTTGTCCCCTAGGAGTTTTGAAAGCTTCGTGGCAAATGCATGGCCTTAAGTCTTTAAGTGCTATTCAATCATCAGGGATTTTCCACAAGGCCTTACAAAAATGTAGATTACACTGTAAAAAAAAATGCTTTTCAGTCCATAAAAGTCCGTTTATACTGAGCAAATTTCTTTATGATGTTTAACTTTGGTTCAGGTCCTGATTCCGAGAAGTGAAATTTGGTGGCGTGAGAAGGAAAAAAAACCAACAGGGAAATAATAAGAAAGACCCACGATGGCCATTCTGAACACAATGGGACCTTGTTTACTCCACATGGACTCCAGTGTTCCCTTAAGAAACACAAGCGATTAAGAAAATACTTTGAAAACCTAATAATAGTCTCCTGAAACCTGAGAGCCACCTCTCATCTTTCTGACTCTCAGGAGCATGCTTCATAAGAATGTATGTTTTTAATACTCTGATTCTTAGCAACAATGTAGTTTTTAGTTAGTACAAAAGTAAAATGAGGCATGGCCCATTACTGCGCACCACATCTAGCATTCAGTGACTTGTACTGGCAGATTCGTTTGCATGTCACCACAGCACCTGTAATTTAGTTTAATGCCAGGTCACTGTGTTCTCTCTCTCTCCCTCACACCCCCCCCTCTCTCTCTGTGTGTGTGTGTGTCTGTGTGTGTGTAAATTTCCTCTCAACAGTTGTTTCACAGGGATTCTAAGTAGTAACTAAAATCAGTGTCAATTTTAGGAATCAACAATCTTCCTTGCAGATAGATACAATAGTCTTCACATACATTCAGGTAAGAAATGGTTCACTGTCTATACGGCTTGATTTAATACTGTGTTCTAAAAAATGCTGGATAAAGGGTGTAGCCTACAATTATATCACGGAAAATACTTTCTCTCTCTCTCTCTCCCTCCCTCCCTCCCTCCCTCCCTCCCTCCCTCCCTCCCTCCCTCTCCCTCCCTCTCTCTCTCTCTCTCTCTTTCTCTCCCTCTCCCCTCCTCCCCCTCCCTCCCTCCCTCTCTCCCTCCCTCCCTCCCTCTCTCTCCCCCCCCCTCTCTCTTTCTCTCTCTCTCTGTTGTATACATGCATATAAACAATGTGGGGGCAAGTTTATAGCCATGCATATGCAAGTATGAGGACCTGAGTTCAAATCCTTAGCATCCATGTAAAAGCTATGCCTCCCTACCTGGGATTACAGATATTGTCATGCGTAGCTTTTACCTGGGTGCTAAGGATTTGAACTCAGGTCCTCATACTTGCATAGCAAGCATTTGTCAACCGAATCATCTGTTCTGACCCAAGATACTGCCTTTTGAGTAAGATAAAGAGAAACAAAACCACAGGACTTGAAACAAGTCTGCAAGACCCAGTTAGATGGTTATTTCATAAGATCAGATACAAATGACCTGACCAATCCTTTTCAGTTTTAGTTTTTCTAATTCCTCATGTTAAAACATACAGTTTTCTGAGCTAGGGAATCAAGTCTTGGCAGAAGAGTGTAGTTTTTCTTGCATGACTGACTTGCCCAAAAGGAGGACGTCCGAGAAAGAATGTGTGCCAGGCCCTACCACATCAATCTCAATCAAAATCATCTTGTCTGTACAGGTGTTGTAGCAAGAAGTTTTGGATGAAAAAGGATGCCAAAAATATGAGGCAATCTCACTCCATAATGATCTAAAAGTATTCTCTTTTCTCTGGGAAAACTGTCAATAAAAGTGTGGATTTTATTCCCTGGCTCCTCACTGGGTTCCAGGGAGCAGACAGAGAGAAGCAGGATCTTTTTAAAATATGTAATTGTAATGATTTAAGTCTCTAAGATCTAGAATATTTTGTTTGTCTGAATGTCTAATCAGTATAAACCTTAGCCGTCATATGAAAATGGTGAATTCTATCCTTTGGCGTTTGAAAGTACAACATACATAATCCTTTATCTTTCCCAGAGCTATTAGCTTCTTGGCCTTTGGCTGGTCGATGTATACAGTATCTATAGTTATTGCATGCAAGGGCTCTCAACTGACTCCCAAGGTCTTTGATCAAACCAGCTAAACTTGATTTTCCAGATTGCTGGAGAGACAAGACCTACAACTATCAGCTTTTCATGTCCTGGCAAGTAATGGAGACCCCTTGCTCCCTGAATAGCTTTATCAGAATCAAAGGTAAACAGGGACCAGTTCTCATTCAAATATGTAGCATAGCATTAAGATCTTGCCTCGACTTTCACAGTTGTAGCAGCACAAGAAAAACAACAGTTGAAGTAAGAAAAAGGTTCCCTTGGTGGTAGGTGCCAAGCTAAATAATGACACCCAAAGCAAAAACATGCTTCACTGAAACGAAGCTTTAGTCAATTCAGCCCTACTGAAAACAAAGCTTTTTTTGTGATTTCAAAAGTGAACATTGTGCTTGGCTCTGGCAGTCATTTATATGTTTTTGAATGATCCGATTATGCACAAATCCCTGGCCTATGGGCCTTTCAGCACCTCATCTCAGGAGCGATTTGAAAACATGACTGAGAATTTCTGCATACAGCAAGTTTCTTTCTCTTAATCTGTTAAAACGTAGCCTTCAAGTGACAACATTTTGACATACATTGCTGTTCTCTTGGTCTCCCTCTTCCTCTTTCTGTCTCTGAAATACTTACAGAAGACAGAGAACTGGGTTCCTTGTCCCTGGGAACTCCTATTTCACCACCCTTCCATCTTTTTCTGCTTTGCTGTTCTCTTTCTGTTGACCCCACATATCCTAGAGGGCGCCTGAAGCCACCATCCCTGTAACTTGTGCAACCTATATTGGGAAGGTAACACATAAAACCCAGGGCTTTTGTCTTGTTTCTGTGCTTCCTTTTTAGTTGAGCAACGCCACATAGGCTTCGTTAGTAAGTAGACAGTTAAACTATCAGACTGCAAATGGTAACCAGTTTGAGAACACACAAGCGTTGGGGAGGGGTGGAAGCAGGAAATAATTTTCACAGGTCCCCTCTTCTTAGGGGAAAGTTGAGAGCTGACAATGGACACATAGTCATTGGGAGAGTACACCGTACATGGCAATAGCGGTACATGATACTTCTTGTGCCAGGTCCCAGCACAATTTCCAATTGTTCTACCATATGTATATACATACATACATACATACATACATACATACATACAAGGGATAACGCCATGTTTGGCTAAATTCCTAAGGGCATCATTGCATTCTCCATTTTGGAAGTTTCCAAGGCTGTTAAGAAGGGTGCTTTCCCTCCCTCTCTGAAGGTATCACCTGTAGCTCTTGCTTGGTACTATGCGGCAAATCAGCTGGCACCTGCCCCCTGCTTTCAGAGAGAGCAGATACGAGAAACAAGCCTGCGGAGCCCAGAAGGGACCTGTCTACTTGACAGATGCTTCTAAGAGACTGCCAAAACTGTAAGTAGAGTCTCCGGAGACCACCCCACTACCCCAAGCATTACCATACATTCATCTAATGCTAGGAGAGACTAATTCCACAAAATATCACAAGACTTCCCTGAAAAGTCATCAGCATTAAGATCAAACTTGAAGAAAGACAGACAACTGTATTAAGGAGCAGGAAAGTCACGTAGGATTGCTGAACCTGTTGTTCATTGAATCTACGTTTATCCGCACATGCACACCTGCCATGCCGGTGCTTGAGGAGGACGTTACTCTCTTGTTCTCTCCCTCAGCCCTGATGACTTCTCAGTTTCCTTTGCCCTCAAGTCTCACTCCAGATGTTCTAGCTAGATAAGCTTGTTTACTGGTGCAGTTTCAACTCCCTGTTCCATAGTGGTGATTCTCAAGTCAAAATCTGGAGGCAAGAGTGCTCTTAGGGTTTCAGTGCCCTTTATCCAACTCCATCTGCACTCCTCCTATCTCTCAGATACCTCAAGCCCAGCTGCACAACAGGGTCATGAGGCTCACACCTCTCTCTGCTCTGTGACCTGTGACCTGCTTTGTGAGTAGCATGGCTTTACCACGCTGTTTAGGCTGTACACCTAAGAGCTCTCTCGTTGCCTCCTCTTCCTCAAGCATCTAGCCAAAGCAGCCCTGGAGAGTCGTGTTCCCCCCCCCCCAAATCTCTCAGACCTGCTTGGATGCCAGGCACACAACTCAGTTCCATCTCCTGCCTTCTGTCTGTCCTCTGTCTTCAAGAGTGAACAAGAGTGAACTTTTCGGAGCTAGGATTCAGCTTCTCCATTCTCCTTCAAGCTTCCCCTTGCTCTTAGGATAAAGTCTAAACTATGGAGTATTGCTTACAAACCCTGTATGTTCCGGGATTCTTTGCTTCGACCTGTGTCTCTTTCAGCTACTGTCTTTCAGACTCTCTCACTTCAGGATCCCTGTGTACTGCTGTTGTCCTTGTTCAGTTATGATCGCTTGTGCTTAACCCCAGCAGGTGCCTCTCTACCTGCAAGACGCCTCTGAGCTTGCCAGTCTAGTGACAATGCCTCCTACCACCCCCTTACAAGCCCCATGATAGCATTTCTTCCTGCGGGTATGATTATCCCTTCAGGAGTTTCTGTGTTCATTCGCTCATGAATTCTTTGAGGAGAGTGACCTGATAGTTACTTCATCATACATTAATGTTTCAGGAGAAAGAAACACACACATGTACACCTGAAGAGGTTATGCCTATCCTAAGCAGAGCCTGACTTAATGAATGGGACAAATGATCTGTTTTCCTCTTTGTATGTCTCCAAATGTAGAAAGAGATTGCAGAAATATTGGAACTTGAGGACCTCTTACAGATCACCTTTATTTTCTGCATGAATAAACAATATCCAGGGAGAGAAAGTCACTTTGTCATCCTCCCATAGAGTAGTCCAATATCCCCTGCACTAACATCCTTTCTTCAGGCTTCTTAATTTTGGTCACTTAAATGTTTGCAATGCTGGTCCACTTTTTTTTCAATTGCCTTAGAAATGACAGGGTGGAACAAAGTTTTCATATTTAATGACTATTTGAATTTATCTTTATTCAGGTACCTCTTAAACCTTTATCAGTTTTATTGGATCATCTGCTTCTTTCTTACATGTTTAGGGATTTCTTTCATATTCTGCATATTATTTCTTAGTCATTTGTGTAACTTGTAAATTTCCCTTAGCCTTTTTTAGTCAGCTGGGACCCAATGTGAGCATAGGGCAGTCACCCATGAGGGAAAGACTCATGCAAGCAAGAATTTGGGGATATTTCTTGGGAGTGCTGTTTGTAAAAGTACACAATTGGAAATGCATGTGTGTCTGTCTACTCCAGTTTGCCTAATCCTGAATGAGTCAGTAAATTATGGTATGTTCACATAAAGGAAATATGAACATAAATGAACTAACTGGTTCTACATGTTCTCTACAGAGCTGGTGCCAGAAACTAGTGTGTTGCGTAGAAGAAGAGATAAAATAATACACACAGCATTTGATGTGGTCAAATGTATTTGGGATGGATATGAAAGAAAGGTGGGTTAAGCAGCTAAGAGTGACTGTGACTCAGGCCAAGGATCGGAGTTCAGTTCCCAGCTACTCTGTCAGGTGGATCACAACTCTCTGTTACTCCATTTCCAGGGACTCAGGTGCCTCTGTCATCCTTGGGCTCCTCCACTCACACCCACAGACCCCACCCTTAAAGACAAATACATGTAATCTTTACAAATCAAAAATTAAAATAAAACCTCACAAAAACCATGAAGGGAAGAAGACAGGAGAAAGAAAGGCAGGGTGCTCCTTTGGGCCTGTGATGGGTCTCATTGAAGGGAATTTGTAGAAAATGGATAGATGTTAGCACATGGTTAAGTCTGAGCTATGGGTAATGGAATGCCTGTGATTTTACTTTGCATTATTTGTTAAGATTGAGTTATTTCCTACTTAAAGAAAAGATGAAAACCTGGCAAACAAGCTTCATTAGAACTATCTTGTCAAACTAACAGAATATGCACAGTTTTGATATATAGTACACATTTAAATAACTTGTAGAAGAGGTGGAGGTTCTATCAACACAGGAACATTTTAGTGCAAAGGAAGGATAGGAGGGGAAAACAGGGGAGAGAAGGAGAAGGTCCAGGAGGGAATGAGGAGTTGGGGAAGGGAGGACTACTACACTACCTAGCTTGCCTTGGGAGGAGTTGGAGGGAGAAACACATCATCGAGAGCCATCATCTTTGAATAAACCTTTATAAACCATTTATATTAATGTATTATAGGAACTGAAAAAAACTGTCTAAGCCAACATGTCCTTCATGCTAGTCATAAGACAAACAAAGCCCAGAAAAAAAAACCCAGAAAATAAGTCAGGGCATTTTATTTCAGACTATCTGTATCTAGCTATTCTAGTCTTTGGATGTACTTGTACTGGTTGACTTTTTAGTTTATATGACATCAAATTATACTATGGTTGTATGCTCTAGACAGAATGTTAGAAAGGATATACGGGATTAGGAAGCAAAGGTATTGTATCTATAGAAATGTCACAATGCAGACTTCTGTGAAATGGGTGTAATTATGGAGACTCTCAAAGAGGGACACTAGAATTAAATTGCTGCCACCTCTCACTTGTGCCTGGGGGCATCCTGCTCGCTAGCTGATCAACATCATTCTGGTTACATCTGTCTTTTATGACTCTAATAAAGAGTATCTCATTAGGTGGCTCAAGGCCAAGAGATAACAATGAAGATCTTCCATGAAGTTCTTACAAAAGGTAGCCTTAGGTCACCACCACTAAGGTGTGTCACTGTGATTTTCCTCTGGGACTTTCTTCTAGCTATGGGCTATTTGGGAGTTGTGGAATGTACCAATGTTACATCTTTGTGTTGATAGCATAGGTAGAGATCATGGTGAGGAATGACCTTAATAAAGATAGAGGAGGCAGCTGGCTGAGCCATGAAGCACTGGTCCATAGGTTTTCCTACCCTAAGGGTCCTCACACTCCCCCAGCTAGAGCCATAGGTCTGCAGATGCAGGTGGACTTGCTATCTCCTGTGACATGAGAAGAGGGGTCTTCCAAAGGTATCATCAGGAGCTTTCCCTCCTGTAAGTCAGCACTACAATGAATTTCCTGGATTAGCTAATCACATCTTCAGAAGGTGTAGGGAGCCTTGTCCTCATGAGGTGACATATAAGACTGGCAGGTTTCAGCTTGCTCAGGAGAAGGTAGCTCCAATGAAAACAAACAAACAAACAAACAAACATTAAGAAACTTAAACTTCTATTGGTCACCTCAAATTGCAGCATCATCATTTGATGTCATTCTATTTCACACCTTCTCAAACACTTATGCTTTCCTTTCTAATATTTTTTTTTTGTTTTTTTGAGATAGGGTTTCTCTGTATTGTTTTGGAGGCTGTCCTGTCGCTCCTGTAGACCAGGCTGGCCTCGAACTCAGAGAGATCCACCTGCCTCTGCCTCCCTGGGATTAAAGGTGTGCACCACCACCGCCCGGTTCCTTTCTAATATTTAGGAAGGTTTTATTTAGATAGCCATTTGTGTGATTGGTATTCATTTGTTTTTCTGGCTAACCTGTGAATCTCATGAGATCAGGGACCACATCTCTTTTATTATTTACGTCATCTCAGAGCCTCTCCAAGAGTCTAGTTTACATTTATTAAGTTCAACACACACTTGTTGACTGTGTTGTTAAGTGAGTGAATGAATGAATGAGTGAAGGAGTATAAGAGCGAGAGGAGTGAATGGAGAATGACTGAATTCAATGTAGGTGATACCAAGGGTATATGAGCTATTGATAGGACCACTGTGCAACAATATAGAACACACTCTTTAAAGATAGGGGCCTAGGGAGAGCAGTGTGGCGTCATGACTGATGGCATGGTGCTGCGATGTTTCTGTTCCCTCACCTGTTACGTGACCTCGGGTAGCTTAGTTCTGCATTCTGACACTGTTCCCCCTCCCCTTTATACAATGAGAACATGGGGAATGAAACTTGCTTTTGAATGGGCATGAGGGCTAAATAAGATAAAGAGCCAGTCTATACAAACTTTTATTCTAAAAGGTCTTTTTTGGGGGGGTGACATTAAACAACACTCAGTTTTATTTATGAAAAAAATGGGTAGATCAGTGGTGTCACTGATGGAACCACAAGAAAAACAGCAAGGGTAGAGCTGTATAGAACAGCATGGATGGGACTTAGGCTTGGAATCACTATGATGGGCTGGGGCATGGAGTAGGCATGCCTGAGGCCCAGGAAGAAGTCTAGGGTAGTAGGTAACCAAGACTTGTTTCTGAGTAGAAAAGAAGTCATCCCTGGGTGGGGCTGTCAGTTACATTTAGGAAAATTCTTTGTTTTTAGTGGATTGGTCACATCTGAGTGGCTCTGCAATGTCACTCTGCAAACTCCAAAGACAGTACTATCTAGAGAAATATCTCTTTGCAAATGGAGACAGTCAGTACAAACTTTTCAAGTTTGGGACTCTGATAATCAAAGTTTCAATATAATTTCTGTTTTGTCCTTGGTCCTGGCTTTTATGCCCGAAGTGAAGAACTTTTCAGATGACTCAGGGTGGAAAGGCCTTGCATCAGTGTGGGGTGGCATCATACCTCCTTCCCTGTAACCATTTGCTCTACAGGACCTATCCTAGAGGATATCACTTACACTTTCCCATCATATTGTAGTCTTCCTTTATGGATTCCCAAAATAAAGAGTCAAAAAAGCATCTATCAGGGCTAGAGAGATGGCCCGGAGGTTATGAACACTGAGTGCTCCTCCAAACGTCTGTCCTGAGTTAAATTCCCAGCAATCACATGATGGCTCACAACCATCTATAATGAGATCTTGTGCCCTCTTCTGACCTGCAGGGAAATATGCAGGCAGAGCACTTTATACACAAGAAATAAATAATCTTTAAAAAAGGAAAACAATAATAAAAAAGTATTTACCATACAGAATTCTGTTGTCCGTTTGATCAGCTAGCTGTACTCTCTTCCCCTTGTAACCTCATAACTACATAATACCCCAGTTACAGATGTTTTATATGATACAAAAAATTCTATACTTTACTTGGGGTTGACTACAGAGATATGAATTTCATGGTGATAATCACTGATATTTTATTTACAACTTTAGTTCCTTTCGTATTTCAAAATGAATTAAGAGCTCCTTGCTTCTTGGTCTGCATCCATTGAAGAACCAGTTATAATCAGGCTTGACTTTTGATGATTGTTTCTGTGATGAGGGGATATAGGTATTTTGTTGTTGTTGTTATTAATACAACCTTACCTTGGCTTCCTTTTACTTAAACTGAATGTATTTATAAATAGCATTGAAATTTTCCTTCCTTTTTGAATTGATAAAGATTTTATTTATTTATTTGATTTCTCAAGACAGGATTTCTCAATGTGTAGCATTGAGTGCTCTAGAACTCATTCAGTAGACCAGGCTGACCTGGAACTCACAGAGATCCACCTGCCTCTGTCTTCTGAGTGCTGTGATTAAAGGAATGCACCACCACTACCAGTTTCTAGAAAAATTAAGCAAGTTCAATAATTTCTCCCATTAAATTCACATTTTTAATAGTTTGCTCCAGTTGCACAATGGTAGTTTATTAACTAGAGTCTGTTTGTACATCCTGTCTCGCTCAGGTGCCTGCTTCTGTGGATTTTGACAAAAGTATGTCCTATGTACACTATTAAAATCCTATGCAAGAGTTTCTCTGTCCCACAGATTTGTGTGTTACCCTTTTGTTTTCTTCTTCTTCCAGACCCCTCATTTGTCTAGTTTGTGTGAATATCACCTTTTCTAAACTTCATGGACTCCATCGCTTCCTTCAGAGTATGCTAGTTTATTATTATTATTATTATTAGTTAAGGAAAGAAGAGCACGTTGAATACATTATGAAGGCTACTCTCCTAATTAACGAAAAGACGTGGCTGAGTTTAAAAACAAAGTCACCCTTTTCATATCCAAGTTTCTTTTAGAAGCTTCTATAAATTATTACCTTCCTCCATATAAGAGGTGTCTTATGACTAAAGGCTGAGACAGCCTCCATCATTCTCTTTAACAATGACTCCTATGTTTCTTTTGGTAAACTCATAATGTTAATTACACTCCGCAACAGATGGAGCACCTTACATCCAGGACCTTGGTGCACCTTGCAAATGTTATAAATCTTCAAAGCCTTTCCATAATGGAGGTAAGTATCTATGGTCACAGTTTTATAGGCTAAGAAGCACAAAGCAGGCGAGTGTTTTGTCTTGTAAAGTGGAATACGCTTTGGCCAAAGATGTAGTCATCATTAAGAAAGTAGTGAAAACCCGTGAATACTTATTGAAAGAGACCTGAGTGAAGTGTCTCACTGGCAAGCTTGGCTTTTCCTGCCAGGGAACACCGAAGCAATAGTATTTGAAAACCCACAGTGTAGTACATCAAAAGTTATCTGCTGATGATTAATCAACTTTTCCAATGATTAGTGTAGACAATGGCTCTCAGACCTCCGTGGTGATATGGCAAATTCTGAAAATAGAAATGTTCCAACATCTTCTCCTCCTCCTCTTCCTTCTTCTCTACTATTGTTATCTCTCTCTCTCTCTCTCTCTCTCTCTCTCTCTCTCTCTCTCTCTGTCTCTCTGTGTGTATGTGTATGCATATGTGTTATATGGTGTCAACGTGGAGAGTATATAGTGGTCAAAGGACAACTTTGCGATTTTAGTTCTCTCCTTCCACCTTTACATGGTATATGAATTACCTTTGTGCTGATGTGATTAAAAAAAAAACTATGACCAAAAGCAATTTAAGGAAGAAAAAGGTTTATTTTATCTTACTGTTTATAGGGATGGAGTTCATTATGTCTGGGAAGGCATGGCAACTGTTAGCAAAAGCACAGTGACAGGAACTGCAAGCTGGCTGGTCACATTTTCATCCACACGGAGGAAGTAGAGCGAGGCCCAGAACTCTCAAAGTAAGTACTCCCAGTGACTTCCTCCAACAAGGCTACACCTTCTAAAGTTCCATACCCTCCTCAAATAACAGCACCAGCTGGGGACCAAGTGCGGAAACAAAACCACAGAGGCCATTTCCTACTTAAACCACAACGTGCTGGTTCCAAACACTGACCTCAGGTTGTCAGGCAATAATGCCCTTCTCTGGTGAACCATCTCATTGGTCCCCCAAACATTTTTTCACTTGATCTTTGCCAGAAGGCCAAGAAGTGATCCCCAAACATTTTTACAACCTGACACCAAAGCACTGAAACTCTGAGCTGAGTCTAGAGATTATCCAGTCAAGCATTTTCACAATTTAGATGAGAAAATTGGGTTGGAGAAAGGTTAATAAGTAACGTGCATGAAGTCATTCACCTTTTAAAACCTTAATTGAATTTTTCTATCCTCCCTTTTGAGTCAGAAAGCGTTTACTTTGGCTTAGTCATTCAGTTGGTTAGTGCCACCAATAACTAAAATTTAGGCTCCTCACCCTCATTAGTCCATCTTCCCAATGAATTACATTTTTTTCCCTCATGGGGTTCTTTATTAGGCATGAACTAAAAGCATTCATAATGTGTGCCCTTCTACATCCTAAGTATCATAAAACCACAAGATGTGGGCATTTCGAGATGTTGACTATTGTTATGCTTTTCTTTAACTTCAGGGGAATCTGACACTCAGAGAGTTTAAAGGAGTCACTTGGGGCACTGTGGCCAGTTACCAGCACACAGAAGCCCAGACTCTCCATTTCCCCTTCCTTCCACAGACTTGAAGTACTCATTTGTTAACTAGGATTCCAGCAACCAAAACTATCAATACAGTTTTATACTGACTTTTCACAAGTATGCTTTTATTAAAGACAAATTAGAAGAAAGTAAGGTAACATTAAGGAATTAAAACAAAATAAATGGAAACAAAAACTCAGGGAATGCAGCTAGGTAAGACAGTAATTGACGTTCTGCCTGTTTCTTTGAAATGCCCTGAACCTGGAAACCTGACAGTGGTTGATAACTTATAAGGATCATGAGGAATTGCAAGACCCCAGCATGCTCACTGATGATTCAGAGCTCGAACCATCGTATGCCTTTTGTTTATTGATAGAACTGCCAGCTGTCTACCGTGGCATATTCTGATAGCCCTAGATATTCAGGAGACTGAGGCAGGAGGATTACTCAAGTTAGGAATTTGAGAAGAACTGGTAGAATGGGATCTTGTCTCAAACCAAAATGCCAACCCCAGTCAAAAGAAAGAAACAAAGGACAATAGGTAGGTTGGAAGAAAGGGAGGGAGAGAGACTATTGGAGGCCATAGGTAAAGTATGGTAATCCTCACTGAACAAGAATGATTAATGAAAGCAACACACTGAGTATTTTAAACTATCACTGATAACCTAGAGTTTATAGAATTTTCAACTCATTCTTTGACCACCAGATAAAGGGAAGAATGCTTGAATCCATTCTTAAGATAATTGTTCCAGTATTTTACAAATCCTTCCTTCCTTTGGAAGTTACCCCTATAATATGCATTTTGGATCATCTGGCCATCTTTAAAAATTACAAAATAAGAGTTCTTATATTAAATTAATCATGTTATATGACACTGTCCAGTTTTTGGGGGGTTTAATGTCAGCTGGTATCTCACATGACTGTTCTTTGGGTGTCATTGGAAGCTAGCAAGCATCTTTCCCTATTACAGAAATGATGGAGACAAGGGCTTGAGCTGAGTTGGGAGTGGGCCGGGGTAGGGCTGGGCTGAAGACTTTCCTTGTCTTTTCATTTTCAAGCTGTCAAATCCTGCTGGTGGGCCCTCAGTGTCAACGGGAGAGTAGATGCACTGGACACCTCTAGACTGCCTTGCTGTTGCTAACATCTGTTCTGCTAGCTTTTCATCTCTCAACCTTGCTCACTGAGCTCCAGCGGCTAATGATTTCTTGCCACTATTTGCAAAGGAAATTAACCGTGCAGCTCCGCGTTGCCTCCTTTATCTCTGAGCGTCCTGGGGTCTTTGAAAGGTTGTACTGTGGAATTTGTACTGTGAGTTGAATATTAATAAGATAAGAAGAAACACATTTCTCTTTTCGAAAGCCTCAAACCGGCAGCACAGGCAGGAAAGTCAGCTCATGTGTGTAGGCCTAGAAGTCCCGGCCCTGCATTCGGCTTCCTGTTAATACCTCCTGGTAACTGAGAGATTACGTTGGGACAGTTTGGATTTAAGTAAAGTGTGAAAGAACTCAGAGTCTTTTACGTGAGTTGCATGCTTTGCTTAGCTACAGCTCTATAGCTACTAAATTTTAGCCTTCTTTATGCCTTCTCTTTGAAGTGAAGGGAAGGCTCAGGAATGTCATTTAACACGAGAAAAAAAAAAGAAAGAAAAAGAAAGCATTTTAAGCTCCTTAAAGAGATGCTTCAATATTCTTTTTTTTTTTATTCCTGAGTATTCTATGGACAAATGTGCATCTCTATAGACATTTCTTCTGAAAGTCTCCTGCCTTCCTCTCCTTGTCCAGTCTCTTAGCTTCCCCACAAACCAGGCAAAGGGTCCATAGGCTGGTATATGAATGGCACTTAAAAAGAGAAAGCTCAGAAGAGCAGCTTCACACTGGGAAATTTCTTTCCTTTCTTTCCTTCAGCTGATTGATAGGTAAATCCAGATGCAATTCTTTAATCACTGAATGTTACAATTTGCACTCTTACATTTTCTCTCCCAGGGACTACCAAAGTGTCTGACAGCACTGGAATAGAGTCCTCTAAGATCTTTCCAAATTAAATGGATGCCTTGAATGATCAGCCTCCTCTGTTAGAGAAATAGGAATGACAATATGAACCCCGTGAATCCATAAACATGGGTAGTCTAGTAACTGAAAGTCTGGGCTGAAGTTCTAACCTTTGCAACTTGAATTCAGGTGGTTCAACACACAGGGAGGGGTTTCTACTATGTGCAACCTGGGCGATGGCCTAAAATCATAATATCTATAAGGAGAGAGGACAATGGTGAAATTGAGCTAGTTTCCCAGCCACTCACTCCATCTTTGAAATCATGACTATTTAGAATTATGTTTTCTGCTTGCTGTGACTGTGTACTTGTGAAAGCCTGGCACTTGGAAGCTAAAAGCAGATAGATCATTGCAAGTTCGAGGCTAGCATAGTCTACATATGAAGGTCTCAGACAAACAGGGCTATGCAGTAAGAGCTTGTCTCCTAGAGACAAAGAAGGGGCTGGAAAAAGACAGAGCTCAGCCAAGGAAGTGCCCGTTCTGTAAGCATGGAGACCTGAGTTTGATCCTCAGAAGTTCTATTTAAAGACCGAGAAAGTGGGCATGTATTTCTTTTTTTCTTTTTTTTTTTTTTTTTTTTTTTTTTTTTTGGTTTTTCGAGACAAGGTTTCTCTGTGGCTTTGGAGGCTGTCCTGGAACTCACTCTGTAGACCAGGCTGGCCTTGAACTCACAGAGATCCGCCTGCCTCTGCCTCCCGAGTGCTGGGATTCATGTATTTCTAATCACAGAATGTCTCACCTAATTTGCAAGCCGTAGGCCAATGAAAGCTCTATCACAAACAACAAGGTGGATTATGCCAACGACACAATAATACCCAGGGCATCCCCTGGCCTTCACACATGTGTGCATTCCCACCTGCATATTCATGTAAACTCACATAGAAGCCCCCATTCCCAAAGAATTATATGCTTTCCCATTTATTGTATAGCTAGGAAACATGCACATGCACAATAGGCAGTGTTAAGGATGAATCAAAAACTAGACTCCCAGGGACAGTGTACAATGCTAGGAGCGAATGCGGAATGTGTGCTCACACAGCATGATGGCCCCTATATGTTTTTTTTATTCCAGAGTATTCTATGGACAAATATATATCTCTATAGACTTTTCTTCTGAAAGTCTCCTGCCTTTCTCTCCTTGTCCAGGCTCTTAGCTTCCCGCAAACCAGGCAAAGTGTCCACAGATGAGTGTCCCAGGTTGGTACGTAAATGGCACTTACAAAGAGAAAGCTGAGAAGAGCAGTTTCATACTGGGAAATTCCTTCTTTCAGTGAATTGATAGGTAAATCCAGATGCAATTCTTTAATCTGGGAATATTACCTTTTACACTCTTACATTTCCTCTCACAGGGAATACCAGCAACTAACAAGCCACCTGTCTGTGCTTTCTTCTCAATTGTTTTCATTTATATAGCCCCCAGGTTTCTGTAGAAATAATATCATAGAGCATTCCTATTTGCTATTTCATTGTAATTCTTTATCACCCTTGAAACTGAGTCAATAATCAATACAATCACTATGATTCCCACTCAATAGACACAAAGACTTGAAGTCTCTAAAAAGCTGTTCAAGCAAGAACAAGGATCAGATGAGCATCTCTAGTCTGCCCTGTTATTTTCGTTTTCACTGAGTGCCTTGCTTGAAGAAGAGCTATTTGTGCATTCGATGAAAAAGCTGTAAAGCATTTTATTGTAATACAATCACAAAGAAGGAAAAGAAAAAAAATAAACACATTCCACTCACCCAGTTTCACTTTCTAAATAGCTTTTGGTACAGATATAGCATCTTCAAATGTGGTCATGCCACACCATCAGCTCTGTGTCCAATAAATGAATGCTTTCATTAACTGTACAAATGTGTTACAAAGAGAGTTTAGTCCTTTCCTTACACACTCTCAGCTTCTATAATCTATTCATCGTTTCCGGTTTTGTAGGTTAGGCTTTGGCTGTTGGAGGCTGGAATCCATTTCTGACTCACTTTTATTTTTAATATCATCAGTAGTTGGCATTGAACACTGCATAGAGTCTGTGTTCCATACATATTTGCTGAACTAAGGGAGTAAATGATTACTTTCACAGGGTGGAGGGACACAGTATTAATGACACTGTTGACATTAGATGCTCTGCTTGGCTGCCCTCATTTCTCTTTTCGTTTGAGGACCATGGTGGCTATGCCTGAGTCTTTTTGTTTCTAGTAGCATAACTGGTAATTGAAAACCTATTTAGACCTTGGCCTCACACATATGTCTCTCATAGTGGCATCCTTATTTCATGAGTGTTGGGATAAAAGGGACAAGAAAGGGGGAATAGAAAAGAGAATTCCTTCAGAATTGTTCTATTCTATTTGAAGGCCAGAAATTGCTCTAATGTTTTACCTGCATCAAGTTATTTATTCCAGTCAATGTCTTCAACAAGCAAATAAAAGCAGTAATTTGTTCACCTCAAAATTCTGGTAAGCGACAGAGGCAGGATTCAAACCCACTGGCAGCATAGTATCACTCCAGCTCTTGATGAAGTTTCACGAAGTGGCAGGAAAGATCAGGAAGAAGGATGAAAAGGAGGAAACAGCAGTCAACAACAGAGAATCAGTGACAACCGGACACTACTGTGGTAACCACACTAGAGAAGCATGAAGTCTCAGATCCCAGGAAGAACTCTCCCTTATGTGGTTAACTTCATTTGATCTCTCTGGCCTCACTCCTCTAATCTGCTAGGTGGGTGAAATTATTCTAGACCAATCTCACTCAAATTGTGATATGAGAACACATTTTGAAAAGGATGAGGGTAAAGTACAATAACTTTTGAACAATATACTTTAAAAGCTCTTGTATATGGCAAAATATATTTTATCAGTTATTCTCAACAATTCCTCACACAGCATCTATAATTAACTTTACTCAGTTAAGCAGAGGTACAAAATGAGCAATATCAATCTCTGTGGATTCTGTCCAAATGCTATTGACTTAACTGCTGAAGCCTTTAATATTATCATGGACATAATAAAATGTAATCTATAATAGATATGTATACATACACCACACACACACACTGTAGAGGACTTGGAGGAGTTTCTTTTTAATAGCTCACATATCAGTATCATCCAATCTCTCCCAATGCAATGGTGGAGGAGGTGGAGCTGGCATGAGAGGGGTGGGTGATAAATATGCAATCAGAGGAAAGAGCTCCACCTATTGATTGCAATGCCACTTCCCACCATACCCCTAGAGGCCAGCCTGATTCACCGTGGATCACACACAATCTGTTCACTTTGGAGAGCAAATAGCATCATTACTCTCGCTACCATCAGTTCACCTGCATGCCAACCCACAAACCCTATAACTTAGTGACTAGATGCCCTTACATCTATTAGTCTCAATCACGACTCCATCGGCGGTGATTAAAAGTAGAGTCAAAATCTGAACCATGAGGTTTAGGACCCCCCATCTTTCCTTTTTCAGGTATGTGGGAAATCAGGGTACTATACCAAGTCTTCAATTTTCCATGTATGACTAAGTTTTTTTTTAAATAACTTCTGCCTCATTGGATGATTATGAGGATTTTTTCAAGTTAATGTTTATAAAGAATTTACAAAATAGCTTGGTGTGGAATAAGTAAGCATAAAAATGCACAAGCCGAGGGTCACAAAAAAAATTGTCACAGAGCTCTTAAAGTGGCCAACTTAGGAGTTGACTACAGAAGATACCCATGCCTGTGCTCCTGGGTACTGGGTGGCACAGCTCCTTAGCATGTGACCTACGGTGATGACCCATGATCTAAAGTCACTGAAAATATGAGGTGATCTCATGTTCGTAGGTATAATGACGTGGTATTTGAATAAAATCAAGTCTTTTCCTTGTGGTAATTCTTATCTTGTTTTCTTAATCATTGCCTTTCCAATCCCTTAGGTTTGTCCAATTATTGCTACAATAATTTTCATGAAAAACTGTGAAAATGACTACACATTATGAGTATCCTAAGATATTTCTCTTTTTATTTTACTCATTAGTTTAAGAGTCCTTTCCAAGTAAATTTCTCACTTCAAGGTTCTGTTTCAACACAATTACTGAAATCATTTGTTAAACTCCTGATACAAAGGTATCCACGGCAGTGATAATTCATACTTGAAGCTGTTCTTGGGAGTAGTCACCAACCAGAGACACTATTGAAGAACAGCCTGACGCTGAGCATGATGTTCAACTGGCTTGAACTGCTGAGGCAACGACTATGGAGTATTGGAAAACTTTTGAATTTGGATTGAAGGTGAGACATCTTTCCTCAGGTCGACTGATCATTTGTACCTGAGAAAATCAAATAGTCTGAGTTATGAATCATAGGTTCTGAACAGCAATAATTTCAAGCTGAAGTTGAACAAGAGACAGAAGCATAAAGGGGACATACAGCATACTACTTCATTTTCTTCCTAACGTGACCATATTGTAAGATGTAGTCTCAATTTTATGACATAGGAGATGGGGTTGAATTTATGGTACCTGATTGACTAATAATTATATTAATATTATTTGATCTTTCTATATTTTAAATGGGATTTGCAAAATGCATCAAGCAACTTGGGAGAAGCAAAGATAATAAAAATGTTGGGAAATCAATAAAAAGTTAAAGGATTGTGGGAAATTTAATTGGGGAAATAATTATGGGCAATTGAAGTTTTTCCAACGCTATGGAATGCTATTTGTTGAAGACTAAGTAGTTGGTCTTTGTTTCCATAGAGATCAGAAATAGAAATGTTCTTGAAGTTCTTATAAGAAATCTTATACTTACACAGCAGAAACAATGTCTTCATTAAACAGGAGAACTTGCCAATTGTGGGTCTTTGCTCCGGGAAATCTGTAAAAACTATGGGTAATCTGATGTGGTGTTGGGTTGAAGCAGGAGGCTTAACTGGGATTCCTCTAGGCCCATCTGGTACTTAGATTCCATGATTGCATCAATAAGAATTTGTGCACAAAGCAGGAAAAGGCGCAGACACCCCATCAGGCTTGGTCCACTTAGCAATGTAGTTGCTGGTCATGAACAAAACTCTTAGAAACATCTGCTTCAATGCAGTTACAGTATGTAGCTGCAGTCTTGTGAATACCTTAGAAGGATGGTCAGGCTCTCATATGAAATCTTACTGCAGGGCAATTCAAACAGCAAAGGCTTGTGGGGGATTATTCTGGTTACATGTGTATATTTTTCTAAACATAATTCATTGAATAATGAATGCATCAGATGAATTTGTCAGAAATGGACACAGTCTAGTGAATTGAGGGTAGGTTTCCTATGGCATATCTTAAATTAAAATTAAAAAGCTAAAATAATTTCATGGGAAAGATGATGATGTATCACTCAGTATTTTCAAACCATCATCTTCATTTTAGAAGTTTATTTCATTATTTTTAAATTAAGTATATGATTTTGTGTGTCTGGGGTGGCGGACCCCCCAGAGCTGGAGTTACAGGTGGTTGTGAACCAGCAGATGTGAGTGCTGGGACTCAAACTCAAGGCCTCTGAAGGGGAAATACATCCTCTGAGCCATGGAGTCATCACCCAACACTAAGGCCTTCATTTTTAAAAATGAACATTCCACTATGGTTTGATTCTGAAATGTCCCCCACAAGGCTAATGTGTGTGGACTTTTGGTCCCTACCTAATAGTACTGTTCTGAGAGGTCACAGAAGCTTTTGGGCATAGTGTAGGCCATTGGGGTTATATCAGCTCTGATTCCTCACTGAGGTCTCTTCTCCCAGCTAAAGCATCCAGGCTCACTGATGGAGCTGGCCAAACCCCAACTCTTCCCCATCCAGATGCTCTGTGCCTAGATACTGTGAGCCCAAAAGCCCTCTTGAGTCACTTCTGTTGGGTGTCTAGTCACAATGACAAAAAAAAAATGTAACTAGTGTACTTCCCTCAACGTCAGAATTAGACAACTCTCACATAGTGGATATGATTGCATCTACATATGAAGAGTTTGGGAACAATGGAGAATTCAGTGTACTCCCAGAAGGAAAATTAGGTAGAGTGTCCAGAATTTGACTGTGATTTTCTAACTCTGTATCTGGAATCTCAAAGATTTGCTTCTTTTCTTGACACAAAGTTTCTTTTATACAAAAGTCATCAACTCTGGATTCAAAATCAGCAGAGGCCAGGAAGACAAAATGATCAAGACCAGCTTGGCAAGACTCCTTTGTTAGATTAGCATCTCAGGCTGTTATAGGTCAACTCAGTACTTGTGTTCTGATCCATTGATATTCCTCACAAAGCAACCTTGAGGTGGTGACTTCCTTTCCAGAATGTTGGAAGATAGGTTTGCCAGTTAAACCATACCAACTTCTTTAATAGTTGATCTGATACTATGAAAACCTCATGAGTGATGTATCACCCAATGGCATGCTATATTAGGAATCTGAATCTGTAGGGTTCATATTCTTGTATATTATTTGCATTATGGTTAATACAAACAAGCAGAGATTTGCTGAGCAGTTCTCTCTTTCTATCATAATTAAGCTGAAACAAAGTATGATTTAAAAAATTAAAATACATTTTACTTATTTTGCATGCATACATTTGGAGATCAGAAGACAACTTGTTAGAGTTGTTTCTCTCCTTCTGTTACGTGGGTACCAGGAATGGGACGCAAGTTTTCAGGCTTATTGAGACATCTCAATGGCCTCAAAAACATAGTTTTAAATACACTTATTCAAGTGATTATTTTTCCCTAGTCTCTCACAGACAAGATTTCCCACATTGCATTGGTTGGCAGAAATGAGAGTAATAGATCAAACCTTGGGGGAAGGAGGCAATGAGTGGCCCTTAGACTGTCTAGCAAGGATACTTTTCATAGGAGAACAGTAGTGGGGTTGATGACTCACAAGTTCAATAGCCACATTTATCAGACATGTTGTATGTCAATTGCTTTGAGATGTAATAACCTTTGTACTCATTTGGACATACATTAGCAATTTCCTGCATTGCTTTCCAGGACCCCAATACAATGGCATTGTCTAAATGACTGGAAATGATGCCGTAAAACTCTATGGATATACTAGTATTGGTTTTAGATAGCAGTGGATTTCCTGATTCTTGGACTAGGGCTCTGATGAATCTCACTACCACACTATGTCTCTCTGTGAGCTTATCAGATTTCCTAAGCTGAACAGGCTTTGTCTGGGGACGTCTGTGAGTGGCAGCGGTCCAAGGAAAACCAGGTGCTACAGGAAGTGGAGTTGGTGATTCAGTCAGGTGCATTCTTTCTTATGATTCAGGCTGACCCACTCACTAATCACGGTGAGTGGGCACTCTGCTTGCGAGGCTGCTCATGAATAAGGAGTATGGTAAAGGTCTTAATCATTTCTGCTGACAGCAGAGCTTTCATGGAGATTTGCTCTAATGTTGCCAGAATTGCAACAGACAGGATCAATTCTGCTGTAGCAATAAATGCTAAAGGTAATACCATTTTAGGTATGCTATATGCTTCACTTCCTGTCCTCGTTTAACACAGCAGCATGGGATGCGTTACTAAGCACCCAGGGCATTTTACTTCGGAGCTAAATTTACATTTGACTATAAATGTATTTTTTTAACTTGTTAAATCTTTGGACAGTAAAGTAATATATATGTATATGTTTGTGTATTTCTGTCTTTCTAAGTATCTATCTATCATAGATAGTTGGCTTATTTCATCTGTTTATATTTTCCCTGAAGGCTTTTAAAAAAGGACTATCAAATAGAAGCTATGGGATAATAGATTAGAAGCTGAAGCAAGAAGTAAACACAATCAAGAAGGAAAGGTGTATGGGAGCTAAGGAGTCTGCACTTGCTAAAGTACCTAAGATTGCATGTTATAGCTAACATATAAAACATAATTACAATAAAACTATCCTTCCGGATTCAGCTGAGAAAGCATAATAGTTAAGCTTTTAGCCATGACACAGATCTACATTTGTTTCAAGTGTTTACTACTTTACGTAAATTGCTAAAGGGAAAGAGAGGGAGGGAGGGAGAGGGAGGGAGGGGAGAGGGAGGAAGGGAGGGGGAGATTGAAATGGATAGTAGATTGGCATCTACCCTCTGTAGACTGTAGACTCATATTAAGGAAGATAATCTAATCTATGTGGCATATTCACCATGACACCTGGCACATAATAAGTTTTATCAAATCTGAACTACATTTGCTATAAAAAATCTTATTGTGTTAATTTCTATACATAAAAGGGAGACTCGTAAGAGTTTTATTGAGTACAATTGCCTTTAAAACTGAAAGGCTTTTGGGTGTTTAGAGAGGAATTAAGTTCTACAGTCTCTGGAGCAGATTTGGTCATCCCCATCCATTTCTTCCCAGGCTGCAGGACAGGATCCCCTAAGGACACGCTTATCTACCGACATGGCTGTGGCCAAGGCATAGCGGTCCCTCAGGCCTCTCTTATCCTCACTTCATCCAGCTATTCAAGGGTCAGCATAGAAATGAAGCAACCCTATTGGGTCTTCTTATAAGTGGTGGGAATGTGTCAGAAATGTTCTGGCTTGACCTCACTCTGTAGTATTTGGGAGGGCTGTTGTCTTGGCTTTGCCTCTCTGGCCTGAACCCGAAGAAAATAAAATCTTCCCCAGGCTTTAACAAAGATTTTGTACAACTTGCTGGGCTCCTCACTTAATTCGGGGCCTGCTTCCTGGTGCAGGTTATCTCCCAGTTCCCTGCCACAGGTACAGACACCCATTTGCTGGGGTGACACTTGGATCCCACAGGGCAAGTGGCATCTCAATGAGTTCTCAGGGCAAGATCCCCGATTGCTGCATATTTCAGAAAACAAAATCTATTAAAGTTTCAAGGAGGTAGGTGTTAGCTATAGGACAAGGGGAAGGAGGACACCCCTGTCTGTTCTAAAAATGTTGTAGGGGGAAATCGTTTGATTTTAAGTACTGTTCATTTCTGGAAAACTTTACTATAAAGAGAAAATGAGCCTTCAACGCCTAATTTTAGATACTCCAGAGTCTTTCCAGTGTCTACTCCAAATGTGTGAATGAAGTAGACCTGTAACTTGGCTAATTTCAACATTAGTGAATATTTTAATCTGAAAACAAATCAGCTCTTTTTGGGGTGGAGTGGGTGTGGCATCTTAGTTCATATTAGAAGTGATCTTTCAAGAGTCTCATAAGTGTCCCCAGTGTGAGTCTTTGTCACTAACAGCCAGTTTATTAAAGGAGCTGAATTGCTCAAATAACATTTCCAAACTATGTATTTTTTCTAGTAAATTCTGATTTTA